CCAGACAAACAATAATGAAGAAGGAATAGTGTCTGGGGTATTGTCACCTTCAATCCCTGGCTCCAAAACTACCCTGGGCAGAAGTGCAGTGTATGCCCTTCTTGGGAGGATCCTGCTGACTTTTACAAGTCAGTTGTTAACAATATCATCTAGTGGAAATGGTGTATTAAGATCCATCTATTAACATATCTCTTTTGTAGGCTTTATACATATTTTCTTTAAACAAGCAAAATCCAAACCTACTTGTAAACATTTCTAGTAACACTTCAGTTGCTTATAGTAAGTAAAAAGAAAAAAAAAAAAGGTGTCAGATAAGTTTTGACTTTAGCTTCCAGGCAATAGACAGTAAAAGTGTTGGAGCCCATACAACCTTGCTGTGTCAGGATTACTCACAGTCACTAAAAAGTAGAAGAACTAAATACCACTAGAAAGCAAAAAAAAAAAAAAAAAAAAAAAAAAAAAAAAAAAATAAAAATTTAAAAATACACAAAATCTAATAAATTGTACAAAATGGGGCATCTGTTGAGATTCTGGCCTGGAGCTTTCCTGGGGTCTGAGTGAAAAAAATCACATCTGGTTAATGTTAGCAAATTTGTGCGGTGGGGCTGATTTGACTGGAGGGAGGATGGAACTACTAGTGAAACGGAAGGCTGGAGTTCATTGAGTTACACTGATGTTTAGGATGGCTCAGCTACTGTGCAGTACAGAAATAAAGGTTTTTATTTGTTTGGGTTGAGGTTTTTTGGGTTGGTTTTTTTTGTTTGTTTGGTTGGTTGTTTTTTTTTTTAACAAATTCTGCTTACCACTGTGATCACTCCAGCTCTGAGCATTTTCTTTCTTTGGCAGGAAACACTAGTCTGTCATGACCTGAAAGTTCCTTGTCTTATCATAGAATCACAGAGTGGTTTGGGTTGGAAAGGACCTTAAAGCTCATCCAGTTCCAACCCCCCTGCCATCAGCAGGGACACCTTCCACTAGACCAGGTTGCTCAAAGCCCCATCCAGCCTGGCCTTGAACAGTTCCCAGGAGGAGGCATCCACAACTTCTGACATCTTCTCCTGACGTGCTAGAGCATTCACAGACTTCTTTCATACCATCCCTTCCTCTGCTGAAAACGACGGCATGTGGCAGATAACTTACTCTGAGAATAAGCCCAGAGTTAGGTCTCCATTAATAAATACCTTGCACCTAATGCCAAAATTACAGCTTGTTATGATCCCCCATTTGGATAACTGTTGCTCAGGACCTCTGTCTCTTGTTTGTGGAGGTTACAACTTTTTCACATCAGGTTATAAAGCAACTCGATTATGCGCTGTCTTTGGAAACAGATGCACATCCACAGTATTAATAACTATAATTAAGAGCAGTTTCAGAAAAGCAGAGCTCAGCAAAAAAAAAGTGAGGGGTTTTTGACTAATGAGGTTGCATCAGGATTTGTCCAAATCACTTCTTTAACAGCCAAAGTATGTGTTTTACCATCTGCATTTGTCAAATAGGGAAAAACAAACATAAATCAACTGTGATTAATTAAGGAGAAATACCCAAATTCTTACTCAAACATGAGGATTGTTCTGATTGTCAACAGAAAGTAGTTTGTAAAAAGAGTTTAAAGCAAAGGTTTAGCCTTTTTATAATTTTGCCTATGGCTCAGTGATTTTAGAATAATAATGTAATTAAAACAAATATAATTACATGTTTGTTTTTCGGAAAACAAGTAACAATATGGCTATGGGTTCATGGATTTCAGTAGATTCATCTGATCACATTGGAGATTAGGTCACAAACTAAATAAAAGACCTAATGCTACAAAATTGTAACAAAATTGTGAGTTCAAAAAATGCAAATAAACATTGAGGACCAAGATAACTGGCCTTTTAGCTTCTCCTTATGAAAACAAAGGTTTTTATGCCTTTTAAATGGGTCAGTAAAATCAAACTGGCACCCTACAGTGCATGCAGAATAGATAGTCAGGAAGAATAAACTGTAAGAAATAATCAGAGGAGCTTGAGCTGAGGATTTTTCAAAACTAGTAGAAGGCTGATAGTCTGTAAAAGTGTTAAATCTTAAAGATCTACAGTGAATACAAACCTGAATCAGGGAAAATAAGACTGGGCAGGGAGGGGCACTTGTTAGAAGATATTGTTGGTGCTCCTCCAGAATTTTTAGGAAAAAAATGTTGCGGATATCTGAAAGGCCAAATCAGAAGCTCTTACTTGTGATGGGACGCTCCATGGAAGCAGCAGCTCCATGTTGGCTATTAGGTATTGTTTGGAGAAGGTCCTGCATATGGTCAGGTTGTTCACAGACTTTGATTTTTTTCTCAGATAACTCACAAATTGAGAATGGGCTCTTTGCTTAAATGAGCATAATCTGCTGTGAAAATAGATAAACCTTAATTCAGTGTTTTAAAATAGCTGTGCAAGACAGAATTTTGTCCAAAGGACAGAGGCCTTGAACCATTTTCAAACTATTGACCACAGTGCCTAGGTGCCATATCTCTAAGAACAAGAAAGAGCACAAACTGAACTAATTCTCAGCTGGTTCCCAGCACATTGCAGAGGAACTGGTCCACGCTGGAGCTAGGCACTGTCACTTACCCTTAGCACTGCACCTATTGTCTACTGACTCTGTGGGATGTAGGAACTAACAGTTCTAATAAGAGCTAATCTGTATTCTTCATTGTAGTCCTACACTTAGATAGCATGGTAGGCTTTCTGAGCCCCCTTGTGACTCTTTTTTCTCCCTGTAAATCAGAGAGATTTCAGTGGAGTCGCAGTTCAAAAGTATTCCTGAGCCTTATACCCCGTAAGAAGTAACGGGTCAAAACAGGATTATTTGAAATACGCTGAGTTTTTAGGGTCAGGAGACACTGGAGAATATGTTTTGTTTGCATTGCAAGAGGAACTGTTTCCTGTAATACTACTTCTTCTCTGTTTTCTCTGCAGTGGAGAATCTACATTTAAAAGGTAGAAAACTAGGCCATTAATAACTATGTAAAAGAAGCCTGATCTGTGAGATACTGAGTGTTATGTGAGGACACTCAGCTCTACTAGCCCCACTTCAGTGATAATTTCCATGGAATTAGAGGGCTTACACACTATTGAAATAATTTGGAGACTGCCAGACTTTCTAGCGTAGTCTTTATTTTTACCTTTTTTTTCACCTGTAAGTTACTGCCTTTTATTAGTTACTTCAGCAGATAATTTTTATGGTAGCTTTTCTACTTTATATCCTGCTGGTATATGGTTTAACAAAATGCCTTTGAAACAGTGTATTTAATTCCTCAGTCATGCCTCTGGGAATAAATTCTTGATGTATTATAACTTCTTTTAAATCTTTTCTTTACTGTGGTTAAGAACTTCCACAAACTTTTCTTTCAGAAATCGCTACTTCTTATTCCGTCTCTGTGCCTCATGTGCATCTCTTTCCTGTCTACACCAGCTGTTATTTGCTACTGGTATCCATGACTGGTCATGTCCTGTTACAGTGGCTTAAATACTTAAAGAAATTCCTTAGTAACATTTCTATTTTTGCATCTGGATCTCCAGAAGAAAATTGAATTTTCACACCTGACTACCTGTTTGAGGTGTTATCCATGATGCTGTGCCAATGAGCTGATATTGTGGAGAATCCTTTTTAAAATGACTTTAACAGGCTTTAGTGATTCTGAATGGTAGCATTTATGGAAGGAAATGTTTCATGATGGTACTTTTGGAAGTAATGATGCTATATATTTCTGTGTAGAAGTCATGTCGTCCTTACCAATAATTACTTCCCTTTACTTTTTGCAAAGTTAAATATACAGCAATTTCACAAAAGTGGTTAATGGGGCTAGTTGAAAATTGTTGTTAAATCCAGTTCTTGACAAGCAAAATTGTTAATGTTGAAAGAGCATTTTTCCTTGAAACTTATTTTCATTACAAATGGGACTTGCTCATCTCAGTCCAGAAATGTTTTGATTTAGAAGTGCTGCTATGCTGTAATGTATTTCAGTTGTACAGTCTTTATTATGGACCGGATCTCCAGTATCTCACATATCAGACTCCCTCATTATCTCTGATGCAGTCTTCCTCCATGGAAAGAAACCAGGGTCACAAGAATTTTGCTCTGTTGTTTGTTGTCGAACAACAAAATCTTTTCCCTGCAACTGCCATGAAGTTGACCACGTTTATAACTTTCATTTTTGCCCAAAATGGTGATTGGTGAATCTCTATAAAGTATGAGAAATTAAGTGTTTCCCCAGATAAGTACATGTGAAACAAAACACCTTTGACTGTATTTTGATGATTTTCTAGTACTAGATGAGTTTCTCAGGACACCGGAATGGTTAATAACTAAAAGCCTCCAGGTTCAGGGATATCAACTTTTATCCCATGAAACAACAATGTGTGTTCCTCACTTGTGTTGTCATTAATGAGCCATACCTTTTCCAAATTGCTTCTGAAAGATTTTAACACTCAGTTAAGAAGTCACCATAATTTCTCACTGAAAAAGACCACACCTAGATTTCATCCAGAGATTTCAGAGTTGTGGACTATAAAGGAATAAAACATCCAGTTTTCTTTGCATCAGATCTGAATCGGTGTGGGTTACCAGGGTAAATTACTTCTTATTGTTTTGACTTTTAGGCAGACCTGACATTTGTTATGTAGCTGCTAACAGAGCTCTCAGGGTGCCGCCTGAGGGAGGGAAGGTATTTTACAGACAAGCAATGTAATCCCATGTTTGTTTTTAAAGAATGTGGAGAGATTAGTGGATTACAACAATATAGCAGGACAAGCCGCAATCAAAAATGTGCTCAGGCTAGTTTAATTGCGACAAAGGTGGTACAACTCACAGCTACACTGAAATTAGTATGTATTGTCTCCTGAATTCACTCAGTCTGCTGCATCATACAGAATAATTTCAGTATTGCTTAGAAGACTTACATCAAATATATTTTGAAAGTTGGTTTCCATTCAGTATATGTCAGATTTTAACACCCCATCTATCTTTGTTAGTCTGTTCACAGTTTTCCAGAGGAGTTTATGCCATCTTTGGATTCTATGACCAGATGTCAATGAACACACTGACGTCATTTTGTGGAGCCCTTCACACATCCTTCGTCACACCCAGCTTCCCAACAGATGCAGATGTGCAGTTTGTCATCCAGATGCGGCCAGCATTAAAAGGAGCCATCTTGAGTCTCTTGACTTATTATAAATGGGAAAAGTTTGTGTACCTCTATGACACAGAACGGGGTAAGCACCACCAAAATTTTAAGTGATTTTTCTATTTCATAACTTGCTATAAGTATTTCCAAAATCAGTAAGTGCAGCCTATCTCAATTTTCTTCTGGAAACAGGTATCACATTCTGATGGTCCTAGAATACAAGTTTATTCTGAAGAAACTAAAATGAGTGGATAAATGAAAAGAAGGCATCTTCATATTACTGATCATTTGTAAAGAGATTGTCTGGAGGATAGTATTAGCAGTATAAGCATTCGATTTGGAATACCTCGTTTCCATGGAACTGCAGACTCAACACTTGCCAGTGTTTTTGAGTCCTTGCAAAATAAATAAAGCTGGCACTATGAAGTAGGCTATTAAGCAAGACCTTCCACTGTGCGTGACATAGCAAATCCCACAGCACTCTACATAAATGCACATTTCTCTTGTCACTGGACAAAGACAATCCATGCTAAAATACCCTCTGGATATGTCTAGGCATCAAGAATGGTCTAAGAATATAATGTATAAGATGCTTTAGGGCTCTGCTGGAGAAGAGATGCTCTAGATATGTCACGTGGATATCCAGAGATTAATTTAGGTATATGACAAGAATGACCAGAGCTATATTTACTAAAAGAAAACATATTAAAAGCAGTTTTCACGCTTAAGGTGATTGTTAGCTACTAAAAAGCACCAAAGGTAGCAAATCCTGTCAAAAAAGAGATCTAAGCACCAGAAACCATTTTCTGTGAGGAATCTTGCATATTTCTATGGATTACAGATTTTATCTGGGTAGCATTTTTGCATCAGATAAATCTGCCACTGCCCTTCTCACCAGCTTTATGATTAACAACTTCAGACCACCTGCAGATCAAAAAGGTCTGGATAGAAGCCAAAGAAGCTTAGATTCCGTTCCTGGCTCCCATGGCAAAGTTCTGATAGCCTAGGCTACTGCAATTTGGTAAAGATCAAGTCTTCAGTGACTGTGCTTTTCAAACTGAAGATTAATAGCATCCCCCAACTAAGGACATACTTTAAGTTGAAAGACAGTAATTTTTAGTCTGATTTTAGGTGAATGCCAAGAGTTCAGAATTTTCTGAGTGATTTGAAGGTGTTAGAGTATTTCCTGCATTGAAAAATGCTAGCTATGAGATCAACTAGGAGAATTTAAGAATGCCATTAGGTTTTAAATCTTCTAAAACCACTACCTAAACATCTGTATTTTGGGTTTAATCCACTTTTAAATGAAAACTCCTGTGAATATGCCATTTGTCTGAGTAAGAAAAGTTTGATGTGACCAAATGAGATAAACTTACAGCATGTGATGAAGTAAAATGTCATATGTTGCAAGACTGATAGAGCTTATAATGTTTAAGGCTAATAAAGTTTGCTTTGGAAAGAGATGCATCAGTCATCCAGGATCATGATTAATAAGAAATTTGGCACTTCAGACTGGAAAAATCAACCTAAACAGTGCGAGTTTCACTAGAACTTGTCTAAATTATATGACTATCAGACTAACTGAGATAGTAACGGAAGTCAGGAGGGAAGATTTGCAGACTCAGACTTGTATTTTTCTGTAATTCTCAGTGTGTACAGACTTTCGGTAGATACAGTCTAATCATGAGCTTATTATGATGACTAATCCCTTTGGAACAGGTTAGGTTGTGTCTAGGCTTCCTTTTGCCTTGTTCATACAGATTTTAATCACAGGTTAAAACACAGCTCTTGTGGGCAAAATCAGCCCCAGGAATCTGACTTCACCTCTGTTGTCTTCTGCCCCTCTGACCCTTTTCTTGACTTCCCATTCACATCCTACTCACAATCTTACAATTACTGATCAAAATCATGTTATGAAGCTACTGGGGTTTGCATGCATCTTGTACCAGCTGTATGTTATATCGGACATTCAGGCTAAGTGTCAGAGTGTGAAATCTGAATGAAATGACAGTGCAGGTGAATGTAGGATTATAAAATGTAGCTCAAGGTTAAAAAATAAAGAACAGCTGTGTCTTTAGGATGGAAGATGCATCAGTGCTTATAAGTAGCTTGATGATAGGATTTGAGTTGTTAAGGATAAACTTACCACATTTTATCTTTCCTTCCTTTACTTATATTCTCACTGCTCTTATTTGATAACAAATTTGCCATCTGCTAAAACAGGCACAAAAATGAACAGTTTATTATCTTCAGTTATTGCTGGTTTACTTATGTTAAAACAAACTTGGTAGCAGTCTTATCACAGTTCTAATTGTTGTATTCTTCTGGCATTAAAATAAATTAAGAAGATTCATATGGGAGACAGAGGTAGGGCAATGAAGTACTCAGAAATAGACATTAAATTCCTTTGATGAGCAGTAATCGTGTATTACAGCACCTGAAACATTTGGTATTTCCAGTACGCTGCGTAACTTCTTGTGATAGGTCTTCAAATACAAAAAAACAGCCTAAGAGGTTGAACAGTAGTAATAGGGAATGACTCTTTGTGTTGGATAGTGAATAGGCTGTACATGTTCCTTTGCTGAGATACTATTGGAAATGAGAACACTAGAGCTGTCACAATTTTTAATAATTCCTATCTTAGATACTTAACTGCTTTGAGGCACAAACACTGTAGAGAGAAGGTGTTAACCAGTTTACTGTCAGTTCCTGAAATAAGCTATCATTTAAATAATGACTTTCTATGAAGATTATTATCTCACTGGCTTGTCCTCAGAATCTGAGATGTTGCAAAACATTAGACTGCTCTTTCTTATGTTGTATATTGGTTATGGACTAAGTTGTTCTTGCAAGTAGTTTTACAATGTTCTGCTGAAGCAAAACACTGTTTTGTATTAAACATTGCAGTTACTGTTAGTAAATACCACAGCATATTACAGATGCTATACAAAACTGAATAAACCCTTTTGTGGTTTTATACTGCTTATTGAAACTATTTCAGTTTAAGCTTATGAGAATGGAGAATCAGCTTTTTAAGACTGTTTCCTTTAAGCAGTGCTTTTTAATTCTTTGACATCAAATCATATGGTTTCCCCCTCAGTGACATTAGGCACAATATTGATGTTTGGCTGCTGCAATTAAGACAAAAGATAAATCTCAAACACTAGCATAAAGTTAAGATCTACAGTTACATAGATAGGTGGTGAAGCTTTTAGTCCAGTGGGTTAGTATGTACGTTTTAGATGTTTATATTTGTAAGTACATTATTTTCTGTTGCTATGAGAATACTGAATGTTGCTCTCTCAATGTTGAGATTGTACTCTCAAATGTATATTTATGTGCAGGTGCAAAATTCTGTTTCTTAAAAACTGCTAAAGCACGCAGAAAGTAAAATAAAATGTGAGATTTATGAATTCCAGCAGCAAGAATTATGTCTTATCATTGCTTATTTCAGTTGCTGGACTTATTCTTCTGTGAAGAAACTGAAATTTAAGAGAAATATCATATTGCATGTTGTTCTCCTAGTACCAGCAGAAAAAATAAATTATACTGTGTAGAGAGTAATGATGCATTAGGAAATGGCTGCTAAGGGAAGAAAGGACATTAAACAGTGTATAGAAGAAATAATCATGTTCGTTCCATGCCACGTGCTTTTGGTTCATGTGAAAAGGAAAGGCAGGGTTGATTTCTGTTTGTATTAACTCACATCAGTAAGTTGACACTGTTGATTGCTGTCATGCGTGCAAAATATCTGATTAATTTTATGGTGCTAACTGCCTCAGTAAGCTTCTCTGCAGTAGAACTAAGACTAATTAAGATTATGTCAAGATGAAATGAGATGGGGTTGCATACAGAAAACTATTAAGAATTTGGGTAGCACTTGTCAGGAAAGTCACCTTTTGCATCTCATGCTGAGGATTATGCTTCATCAAAAACCTCAGGTTTATTTCCAGTCTTCAGGTCTGTTTCTTCTCCTGCTTTACTTTACTGTAAATCAGGTGTTAGTCCACTAAAGTCAGTGAACCGGAGTAACACTAGTATAAATGTGTGGAGAGGTAAGCTTATGGTTTTCATAGTCATCTTAGTGTTGCATGGAAGTGTGAAGTACTTCTCATTTAATAATGGAAACGGTATAATAGATTGTAATACTGAAGCTTTTGTTTATTTTAATTTCCATAATGTTTCTTAAGTAACATTTCAGTTTATTTTTTGCCTGAGAAACACTGTGTTGTACAGATGGTTCACTTTCCATCTGTCAGTACGACACAGGCGTTTTGTCCTAAGTTACTTTGATTTGTCACACATACTGTGCACAAAGACATTGATTTCTGTCATGTAGATCATTTAAACAAAATCATACCAAGTGATTTCTTTGATGTGCATCAAGTCTCCTTCCTCTTCCTTCAGATCATAGGAGTCATCACAGGACAGGAAGGCGACTTTCCTTCTTTGTGTAATGCCTACCTACACAATGGGAGCTCAGTCTAGAGAGAGGTACAGATAGATCACGATCTTTATGGCATTGTAAACAAATACCTCCCTAAATCTGAAATTCTTCTGTTATTGGTTTTCATTTAGTCTGTTAGGAGGTATCCAGCAATACCTAAAATCAAGGGAAAACAAACAAACAAAAAAGCTTTGCTAAATAGGGTTATTGTTGGTTAATTATATATTTTTTAAATTGGTTAACACTGGCCAGATGAAGGCTGAGGCACGAAAGTGTTTGTTTAAAGCCCCGGGTTATGTGGCTAAGAAGAGTTGAAAATACCTGCTTTAAAAGCAATTACATCTTTAATCCTTACTGCCACAGAAACACAAAAATTTGACCTGAACCTGACGGATGAGTAAGGATGCAGAAGGCTTGAAATTACAGCTTCAGAAAATATGGCCTGTCCTATTCCTTTTAAATATAAAACCATCTGGTACCCTGTTGCATAAAGAAATGCCAGGTAAAGAGCCAATTAAAAAAAAAAAAAGAAAAAAAAAAAAAAGAAGAGATACAACTGTAAGCTTCTCTATGATGATGATGCGTAAGGCATCCAAGTGCCTTAAATTGGGTTCAGTACAAGGCGATGAGGTCTGATTCAC